CCCTCCTGGTTTGGAGTTTTGAAGATCTCCAGATCAACCCAGGGGCACTGGTCTCTTTTCTGGTTGGACCTGGCCCCTCCTGGTTTGGAGTTTTGAAGATCTCCAGATCAACCCAGGGGCACTGGTCTCTTTTCTGGTTGTACCTGGCCCCTCCTGGTTTGGGGTTTTGAAGCTCTCCAGGTCACCCCAGGTGCACTGGTCTCTTTTCTGGTTGGACCTGGCCCCTCCTGGTTTGGAGTTCTGAAGATCTCCAGGTCAGCCCAGGAGCGTTGGGATGGGGTTGCTGCAGGGCCATGGTGTGCCAGAGGTTCTGTTGTCTCTTTCCATTGCTGTGCGGTGGTGGCCGTGGTCCCCTGTGGGGTTGGGGACAGGCAGTGGTGTCACCAGTGCTGGAAGATGCCACATCCCACCTGTGCGTGACCCCGCAGGTGGCTCCTCCTTAGGTGGCCGTCACGGGGTGGGATGGGGGTTCAGGTCCAGCTGGTGCTGAGGGTGCTTTTTGAAGTCCCAGGGGCTTTCTGAAGCGAAGAACCACCATGGAGGAGCTGGCAGGGATGGGCTGGGTGACGCTGGCCGTGGAGGGCAGGGAGCTGGGAGGCATGTGTGGGGCTGCCGAGAGCCGGGGCAGGGCCAGGAGCAGAGGCTGCCCCAACCTGCGCGAGCATCCCCTGGTGCTAACGAGCTTTGGTGGCATCTGCGACCCCGTTGGGACTCCCCTCGTTCTGCTCCCTTTGCTGTGTGCATCTCAGAGGCTTTCGGGTCCCCTGCAAACCCCACCATGAGCATCCCCAGGCCACGGGGCCACGGGATGGAGCTGGGAGCAGGTGCTGGGGCTCGAGCAGGGCGTGGACTTGGGGTGCAGCACTGTTCTCCACCATGGTGCTTGTGTGTCCAGCCCCCATCTCTCCCAGTTAATGCGCAGCTCCTGGGCCGGTCTGGAGAGAGCGAGAGGCCAGGGAGGGAGGGAGGAGGCTGCAAGGGGTCTGCCCAGCACATCCCACCCCACCGCTGAGACCCTCTGGCTCCCAACGAGGTGCTGGGGAACCCTGGGTCCCACCCATCCCGTGGCTCCATCCAGTTCTGCGACACACGGAGCGTCCATCGGGGATGCTCAGATCCTCCTGCTTCACGCTGGTCCTACAGCTTCTGGGAGGGTAACGGGGCTACGTAACAACCTCCTCCTTTCTCTCTCTGTCTCTAGTTGGCACCAAAAGCCCTTGCGAGCATCTCCTCCTGGTTCCATAACCCTCTATCCTCCCCTCGCGCTCCTCTGCCGGCCTTTCCTAACCTCTCTCCATTTCTTTGTGCCTCAGATGAGTTTCCTGCTCTGGCGAAGCCCCCGAGAGCCGCAGACCGTACGTCCCCTCAGCCCCTCGGTTTGCGGTCGCCGCTCGGGAATTGTTTGGCTCGTTCGGCTGCGTCGTGGCTGGGCACCTTGGTGGGGACCGGGGACGGCTCCAGCGCGTCCTCGCCCTGCCCGGGGACAGGGGTGCCCGTGTCCGGGTGGTCTGGTGCGTGTTGTGTGCTGAGCCCGGGGAGCAGCCGGCTCCGGAGCTCCGGGCAGGACCCTGCGGCG